AGCAAGAATAAAAAAAGTAATCAGGAGGACAGTAGATAGCAATTGACATTGCATTTAAAATTTTGAAGATTAAAGTTGGCTGGAAAGCATGGAGCCAGAACAGAGTTCCACAAGCAAGAAGAGCAACAAAAGAAACTGTTAGCATAGAATTTACAGTTACATCTAGCCAACTCAACAGTAAATTGATCTGATCTTGTTGCTAGTCTAGTACTGCACTCAAAAAGTCTAGGTGCCATAGCAAAAAGCCGATCTGAACAATTACCATGAAATTGTTTATAGAAAAGGCACAGAGAGACAACCTTATGGTGGTGGAAGCCAAGACACCAAATCAGGACCAATGAATAATGCTGGTTTTTCTTTGGATTTTATCAAGGAGCTCTAGATAAATAGCAGGAGCACCAGACCATATCTGGCAGCAATATTCTAAGTCTGGACAAATGATAGACTTATAGATATGTAACATAGATTCTGGAGAGAAAAAATTGCCTTGCATGATACAGTGAACCAATTTTCTTAGCAGCTGACCTAACAATGGATTCAATATAGTCTCTCCACTTCATGTTAGCTAAGAACATTAGCCCGAGAAGGTGCAATGAGTCCCTTTCTTGGAGGTTTTTTTTTTTTTAAACATTTCACCCCAAGCAAGGCGGGATGCCACTAGCATGCAAGGGGTTACAGAGAGTGGAAACAAGAGTAAAGAGGCACGATAGAAGAAAGGATGAAGAGAAAGACAGGGAATAGATCAAGGAGATGTCAACTGACATTACATTTGAATCGTTAGAGATTATAGCTATCAGGGAAACAAGTAATAGGAAGGGAATTCCACAGATGGGAGGTGTGAGACATGAGGCTATTGGAGTAGAAGAGACGGCTACATTTAACTGTTTCAACAGTGAAAGGGTGAGACCGAGATGCCAGCCTAGTTACACATTTAAATTCATGCAGTCTGGGAACTAGCGAAAGTAGCTCATCAGAGAAGTTACCATGAAAGTATTTGTAGAAAAGACAGAGGGAGGTGATGGCATATCTGTGAGAGAGCGACTGTAGATGAAATGCCAGATTGGGGCCAATCACATTGCATATCCGTCTCTGTCGAAGACCTTAAGACACACAGTGGGACCACCAGACCATATATGGCAGCAGTATTCCATGCAAGGGCAAAAGGATAGATTTGAAGGATGGACTCGGGCAAGAAAAAGTTTCTGGTGCAACACAGGGAACCAACTTTCCTTGTGGTGGATGAAGCTATTGATTCAATGTATTTCTTCCATCTCAGATCATCAGACAGTGTGAAACCAAGCAGTCACAAAGAGGTGCTCTCATGGATTTGAGCATCAGACATTATAATGGGAGGCAGGGATGGTTCCCTGTGGTGAGTAATAGAGAACAGTTTTGTTTTTGAGGCATTAAAGTTAACCAGCCAATTCCTTCCCCAGTCCACAACCAATTGGAGGTCCTTTTCAAGACAAATGGCCAGGTTAGTTTTGTCAGTGATACCAGATTTGCTTTTGAGGCAAGAGTAAATAGTAGTGTCATCTGCATAGATGCATACTTGGGAACTGATGACATCAGGAAGTTTGGTAATGAAGATAAGGAACAGAATAGGGCCTAGGATAGAGCCTTGGGGAACACTTGCATTCGTGGGAAAGGAACTGGAGGAGAATCCATTCAGATTGACCTTCATTACATGGTTTGACAGGAATGATTATATTAAGTCAAATAAACCTTACCGTCCAGGTTATTGGGGAAACATGTGGAAAAGTCAACTATTTGCGTGAGGGATTGAGAAATTGAAAAGTTAAGGGTTTGTATGCCAGCAAGGTCAGTTGGTATGGTAGGCGTTAAAGTCCCCAAACATGAATATATGAGCAAACGGATGGAGAGAAATAGCCTTGTCAGAAATGCTTTTGAGTACACCACAGTCTAAGGAGGATGGAGACCAATTGAGGAAGAAGAGGTAGCTTACAGCATTTAAGAGAGATAGATGGTGACACATGTATGAATGGTCTGGAGAATCAAGAGAGCTCTCTAGCCAGTGGGAAATGGTCCTTGATGTAAACTCCAAGGCTGTGCATGTGGGTTTGAGAGTCTTTTCTAAGGAGAGGAAGGTAACCAGGGATTGAGAGGTCAGAAGGGAGGATAAACGAGTCGAGGTTGGTCTCGCTGAGAGCCAGTATATCAGGAGACTTCTCAATGAGGAATGATTCCACACTGCAGAAGCTGTTTTAATTGCCACAGATGTTAGAAAAGGAAATGTTAAAGGTTTTAGGTGATTTTTTAAGAACTGGTTTGGGTTTACTTTTTTGATCGTTAGTTGCCATGATGGGTAATTATGGTAGTGAAAATGAGAAGGCCTGAAGTAGAAGTAGCAGACAGTCATCATCTGTGATGTGGGCAGAAAGGAGCTGGTGCAGCCTGTAACATAATGTGGCCTCAGGGTTGCCCACTGAATGCAGGGATACCATTCCATGTGTGACATGGCACTACAGGCACTCTGGTATTATACAACTGTTGATCAGAGTGACCACTCAAGATGCTACACAAGAGTTAGGGCTTCTAACTACCAGTTGGAACAACAACCAGAAAGCATTCAACCGTGTACCCTCAGAATGAAGAGGCATTGCCACAAACTGCACACATCACAGGAGAATCACGGTAGTACTAGTATGAAGACTGGAGAGAAGGAGAGGAAGAGTTCTGAGTACTCCTTCCTAAACAAAAAACATGTGGTGAGCCTCTACTCTTGTTCAAGAGAAGGGGGGGAGTATTGACCAGGTGGTAAAAAAGCCTACCTACTAATTACCAAGGAGGAGAATGAAAAAAAAATTTTTTTCCTTCTTTAAATTAAGTTTTAACATAGTTTAAGTCCCATTGCCCCTTGCTAAAACAGTACTCAATTATCCAGCATTGAATCTCATGGTCAGTTAGTGAATTATTGAAGCTAATTTTTTATCACCATACCTCTACATTTCAAAGACCACTGAGCTTGTCCCTTCCCCAACAGTGGGGCATGGCAACTTTGCTTTCTAATAAAATAAAACAGACAATGGGAAAAGAAATAGCATTAGCCATGCTGATGAAAGGCAGAGAAATGTCTCTCTGATGATTAATGGAGAGAAGTTTACTTTTGGAGGCATTAAAATTAACAAGCATCTTCTGCCCCAGTTAACAACAGACTGAAGGTTGTTTTGGACTTCGGCTGCTGTTTCAACCTTATCAAACTGATCAGACTATTAAGATAGGGACTAAATGGTTGTGTCATCAGCATAGATACCAAGTTGAGAGCTGATGCCATCAGGAATATCATTAATGAAAATTAAAAACAAAGTAGGATCAAGGATGGAGCCCTCAGAGACACCTACATTAGAACAAAAGGATGTAGATGAGTGGCCATTCAGGATAATTTCATTTCATGATTTGATAGGAAAGACTGAATCAGTTCAAAAAATTGTCTGGAGATACTGTAACTCTTCAGTTTGTGGAGAAGATCTGTATGCCAGAACTATTGAGATGTCCAAAGCAACAGACAAAGCATCACCATTTTTATCTAGAGCATGATAGACTCTTTCCACAACTGTCATCAGTACATCAGCAGTTGACCTGGAGAAACAAAAGCCATATTATTTGTCTGAAAAAAGGTTGTGCAATGAGAAATGCTTAACCAATTCAGCATTGATTAAGGCCTCTAGGAGTTTCCCAAAAAGAGGTAAAAGGCTAATAGGTCAATAGTTGGAAGGATCGGATGGTTCACCATAGTTTTTAAAAACTCTAGCAACAGATGATGACTTCTAGCAGGCAGTTTAGAGAGAACAGGAGCCAGTTCAGGAGTACACTTCTTAATGACTATTACAAGGATACCATCAAGACCACGCCATGCTTTGTGGTGATCTAGGTTAGATATGATAGCAGAAACCATAGAATGGGTTATAAGCATATCACTCGACAGCAGGGATAATCCAGTTGAGTCAAGAGTAGAAAATAATCCTTTTACAATGTTGCAACATATTTTACCATTATTTCTACTTTTTTATGGAAATGTTGATTTTTCTTGAAAAGAGATCAATGATGGTCAGGAGTCTAAAAATATGTTTTTTAGTCATTTTTAAATATAGTGTGTATATTATGACAAAGTGGTGCATAATGTATCCATTGTACTTGAATATTTGAAAATATTGATATGAAAATCATTTTTCATAAACCTCATATTTTAATTTTATGAATAATTATAAGTATAATTATTATACTTATTTTAGCTCATACTTGGTCAGAATCGGTTTTGTTGGAATAAAAAAAATCTTTAAAAGTGTAAAGGCTGTGTTTTAAAACTAATAAGTTTTAGAATTTTTTTTTGTTTTCCATTTTTTGACAATTGCTATGTGTGAGTGATAAATTTCATTTTGAGTTCCGTAAACAATGTTTTTTGAATGTAGAAAAATTGCATGACATATCCATTATTAAGGATGATATAGAAATATTTTAAAAAATAATTTGAAAATGCGGATATAAAAACTTTTTAAAATTAAGGTCATCTAAGTTTTAAATGTATCATGAATTTATTTTTTAAATATTGCGCCAGGTAAAAATTATTGAACGTTTAAAAAATATATGCATCTCTAACAGAAAATTTTGAAATGATTCCGTAGAAATTTAAAAAAGGGATGAAAAGTCTTCAAATTAATTTTTTTATTGTAGACTAAATAAAGAAAGTAAGTAAGTAAGTAAGTAAGTATAAGGAATTTTTTCCTGTTTTATCTTAGATGTGGAAAATCTTACGTTGAGTTATATAAATTTTATGACAAGGCTCAAGGACATTTTTTTTTAACATGTTTTCTGTTTGTTTTTTTTCAAAGTGCAAAAGTTTGTAGGGCTGGGAAAATATCAATAAAATGCTTTTAAAAAAGTAAAAGAAAAAAATAAGAAATAAATGTAAATGACGTTCCAGATTTTGATTATATTTTTAAATGAAAGCATCCTTTTTATTTTCATTTTGTTACGTTAAGTAGTTTCTTGCTCTACGAAACCTGGTTATTATTCATCACATTCTTTTACACGTCCGTTCTCTTCCACTTGTCAGTTACAAGTTACTGAGGTTGATTTATCAAGTGTTTCCAGTCTGATCCTGAATGTATTTAAGAAGGTAAGTTTGTCTTTCTTAAGGAAGGCATTGTTTTCTAAAAGAAATCTTAATTTAATACAATTGCAGACGATACTGGCAGAGAAAGAAAAGAGTACGGTACAAATCTTTTTTTTTTTTTCAAATGACACACCCTTTTTTTCCATATTACAGAAACTAAAACATGCTAATGAAATGATTTTCTAGTTTTCAACCAGAATGTATTGTTTCCAAATAATACCAATAGTTGAAGAACAGGTGAAAAAAAAATGTAAAGTAAAAAATGAAACTTAATTTTTGATCACTTCGAATTTTTCTTCCGACAATAACTTTGTTGTTGGCTTAATTTTCTGTGAATACTTTTTTACCGTGATAAATATCGGTTTCTTTTGTTTTTGTTTTTACTACAAGAAAAGTTTACCAGTCATAGTGAATCACAGTTTTACTTTTAAATGGTAGCTGGTGATGGTAGGTCAGTCAACAAATCATTGTAAGTAATCATTTGGGTGCGGTTCAGTTTTTCTGTTAGTTTGTTTTGTAGTTAGGAGAAAAAAGAAGAAGAAATATTTCTCTTTTTGTCCGCAGTTTAAAAAGAAATACTTTTAAATAGCAAGATTTTTCCTGTTGAAATTTTTTGTCGAATTATTTTTTAATAATAAGCAGATTAGCTTTTTTTTCTAAATTTTATTATTTGTCTCCGATGCTGCTGCTACTAACCCTTTTTTAACGTTTTGCTTAATTTTTTAACATGTTTTTTTCGTAATTTATTAAAGCCCGCTGAAAAAATAAGTAAAAAAACTAAGCATCAACATTTCCCCTTTTTATTCCGGATGCATATGTGTCATTAACTAATTCTTCTTTTGAATTCCACAGGTGTTACGAGAACCTAGCCCCCACTCGGTGTTTTTAGAACGTTAAACGATTGTGCGGACTCAATTGTTTCCTGCTGGAAAAGAAAACTACTAAAACAAATTTAAATACTTTTTTTATGTGTAGGAGAAATTTTATTTTTAAAACATCATAATTGATAATATGATAGCTGCAACGCCTCAGTGAATGATTTCGTCAAGAACATTGCTAGCAACACTTTTTGCTTTATCATCCTCAACCAAATAGTATTTTTAATTTTTAATGACCCTTAGCGGCTACCGGAAAAACAAAACAAAAAAAAACCTGCTGATTTTTACCACTGTCCAAACCCTAGTCTATTGTCGTGAAGAAAATTTCTAATATTTACAACATAAATATATGTTGCATACACTACTACACGTGTATTGTACATTTTCACTGTAGTTTTTAAGTTGTTTTTTTTTTTTTTTTTTGTTTTTTTTTTTTTTAAAAAAAACAAAAAACAATCGACCAGCATTTAATCTTCGGCAACTTTAAGTTTGAAGATGAATTCATTCATTACCAAGGCAACTAAGTATTACGATGACTTACTAAAAAATGGAGGTAGGTATATTGATTGTTATTACTTTTTAAAATATTGACTCAAAAAAAGTATATGAAGTTGTCTTGATTCCTTTCAACAGTAGGAACACAAACGTCAGTAAATGAAATAAAGCTTCTGCCAAAAATGTTAATAACGAGATTTAAATTTTTATTTCCTTCGCAAAAGTCAAGTTGTTTATTTTAAAATGTTGCTGCAGTAATTAACTTTCCAACAACTTGCCATTTGAAGCTAAAACCAAACAGTGGATGTTCTTCCACATGTCGTACTTGAAAGTTTTTAAGACAAAAATCAATAAGCCTCAAATTATGTTGATTGATTTAAAAAAAAAAAAAATTTTCAACGAGTTATACAACTGGATTCAAAAAATTCCAATAATGAATTAAGTTTATTTTCCACTAAAACAATTGAAAAGCTATTTATTTGCAGTTGTTTTTTTTATTAGCTAGAAAAAATTTCTTTTTTTTTTAAGTGAAGCGGAAGCGTAATTTAGTGACCGTGACATTTCACATTGTTTGTTTTTTTGTTTTTTTTAAATGCATGTACATTAATTGCTACCAGTTTCTTAATGTTTGCTTTTTCTTGTCAGTAATTATTTTTCCTGTAATTCTTAAAGTTTTCTATTTTTAAAAATTCGCTTACTTATGAAAAATTAAAATTGATGTTTCTTGTAAGCGAGGTGAAAGTTTTTGTTTCAATGTGATTTATTTAAACACTGAAACCGTTCTGTTTTGTTTGAGTTGATTCAAAAATGGAACGTTGGTTGAGTGTTGGCATTTTTTTTCTCTTGAATATAAAATGAGAATTCATATGCAGAGTTTTTATTTGTGCAGAACACACATTTTTTTTCTTTCAGCTTGAAAAATAAATAAATAAATAAAGCACTATACTACCAGTAAGTACCTGGACTCCCCCTTCTTAATTTATTTTGACTTTAGTTGTCTTAGGAAAGTTATTGACTGAGGGAGGTGGGAATCTCAGTAACGGAAGCTTAAAAGTCATAAGGTATGCTTCGTTAGGATTGTAAAAAAAATAGAAAAAAAGTCATAACTTCAGCGTGTATTTGGGGCGGGGGAAGTCAGAAAATATTTTTTAATAAGTCAAATAAGTATTTTAAATTAAATATCGATATCAGTTACTTATTTATTTTAAACTTTAAAGTTAGATAAACAAATTGAATACATTAGTTTAAATTTTACTAAAAGGAGAATTGAAGAGAATGAAAACCTTTCAGGGGGGTAACTTTTTAGTTTTTACAAATATACAAAAAACTGTGAAAGAAAATTGTTTTATCCTTTTTGTCTATTTCCAATGCAGAATCCAACTGATACAATGAATGGTCTGTGTGATCAGGTGCCTAATCATTTTTTAAGGCTCCATTTATTGTCCTGTCCATGATGACAGGAACCGACAGTTCATGGAATTCCTCTTGGAGTTTTACATCTTAAAGAGAAGACAAATGCTTAAAACATGATTATTTTTCGTCAGGAATGTTTTTATGAAAGCTCCAAGTGAAATTTTGATATTTCTTTATTTGAAAAGAGAACTGCAAGAATTCACAATTAAATAAATAAACTTCCAGTAATTGTGGTAAAATTTACAAAGCTGTAAGCTCATTTTGTACACAGTACAGTACACATATTTGCTTTCATAGTAAAGTTTTATTTTAAATTTTTTGGGGGAAAAAGGATGTGTTTGGTCTTATTTACATTTAAATATCATTCACAATTTATAAAATTTATATGTAATAATTTGGAGATGCTGACGTAGTTTCAGTTGTTGGTGAATCATCTCTCACAGCTTTGCTTATCTCTTTGGGCAATGAAGTCACTTGGTATATAGTGTAGACAAAGTTGCAATGAAATTACTAACTACAGCTTGTTGCAGAGACTTATGTTTATCAGTTTTCATGTGAAACCAACAGCAATTGATCAAAAATTTTCTTTTTATACCTTGTTATCTATCTTTTATGTTTCGTATTCTTTAAGGAGATGGGTGACCATGGCTCTCCAAGATTTTTTATCCTTTGTAGCATTTAGCAATGTTTGTCTTTTTATTATCCCTCCAAATCCCTAGTTTTGCCATCTATTTACATAGGTTGGTCAGGTAGGTTACTGTGACAATTAAGGAGAAAACAAAATCTTACCTAGAAAAAAATTTGTTCTGTGTACTATCTATTGAAAAAGAATGAGGTGACTTTAGTAGTCCTTGAAATATTGTAATTGTTTGCATTTCCATACCAATCACAACCTTTCTTAATCCAATAAAAGAACACAGCTCACTGCTTTGGACAACTGAGTGATGAAAGTAGTTGTGTTGCAAGTTTTGAATACAGTTTTTTTGTTTGTTTTTTTTTTATTTTTATTTTTTATTTGAACCTTCCGGTTTCTATTTTCTCCCACAAGGTATTTTGACAAAATCTTCCAAGATGGCAGATAAACCGTTTGCCGTAAGGTTGATTCCTGAATTCAATGGTAATAAAACTGGTCAGTTTGTGGTTGAGTGGATCTGCCATGTAGAGCTCATCTTTGAACTATGTTAAATTAACAAAATTAAATGAGTCCTCTCACTATCTCTGAGAGATGCCTTTGCAGTATATCGACAACTGAGCAAAGAATAGAAGACTAATATTGTGCAAATTAAACAAGCCCTAATAACTGCTTTCAAAATTGACTTGTTCGTGACATATGAACCATTTATGACGCTGTGTTTTTACCCTGGTGAAACAGGGGACATATTTTGGGGGCAGAACTGGGGAATATTTCCATACTATTTGTAGAACTACCAGAATGATAGATGGTGCGTGCATATGTGTCAGGATTGATGATACATCAGGTGGCTGCTTCGAGCATCATCCAGGATGCATGACGTGACTGTCAACTGCTAACCATACCCCATGTCATCATGATTGAGATAGAAGAGGCTGAGGAGCCAATTGTTGCAGCTTCTTAACCAATGCAAAACTGATGACACATCCCAAACTCCAAATCCTTATAACAGTAACACTTCGGCTCAACCATTTTGCTAAGGAATGTCAACATCAACATGGAGAGACACTCACTGACATATGCTTTTGATGACACAGTCAGCTGTATTGAATCAAAGTGTCCAGGAAACAGCCTAGGGAACATGTCATCAGTGCTAGTCTTGTCTCATTGCAAGATATGATCTGCTCCCTGTGATTCAAGTACTTATTTTTGTTGCTTACAAGCAGTTTGGTTTGTAGTCCTTGGAGTAGACAAAAAATGTATGTGGTAATGGCTGATAGGGAAAATTCTGTGGAGCCAAGGAGTTGAAAATATAAAACACTGTGTGGCTAACAGTGAACCAGTTAAAGCCAACATACTGATTATCTACAGAAAGTTATGGAGATTTGACCTGACTCCTGGCTATCAAAAAGTTATCTGAGGAGCATATCGAATTGAGCAAAGTTCGCTTTTGTAATGCACCCATCTGTGCCACTATAATGATTGACACCTGGCCTTTTAATGTGGAGTTCAACCAAAGCACCAAGGTGTAGTCAGTGTTATGGTCAGGTGGCAATACACCAGAGAAATTGCTGAATTGGGCCTCCGAGTATCCTGTGTCTAAACATGTTAGAAGTGAGTACCAACAGAGATTGCAGGAATAGCTGGATAACAGGTGGCTACTACCTTACCCCAAGGAAGATCTTGGTCCCTGGAAAGGCTTAATCCTACTGTTGTGCAAAGGAAAAGTGCACCCTGTGTTGGATTATTGAAAATGAGCATGTCAATGTATACACAGTTCATGTTTGCACACAAACAAATTGCTAAAAAGCCTACCAACAGATACATGTGCACAGGTCTCCATGGCCCTTTCAAACTGTAATTTTCAAAGGGTGTAAATACTTCCTTTGCAAATGGAGTTTGGGCTCAATGTAATGCCAGCAATCATCACAGCTATCATAGATGCTGTACTATTGAAACATGTGAAATCAGTTTACATTGATGACATTTATATCAATGAAGACATGGTGTCTGCAGTGCATGTGAGCCAGCATCTTGCTGATTATTGGCTAACCTGCAAAGACTGGGAGTGACTTGGTTTTCCAGTTTAGGGGATGCATGATACCCTACATTGGAAACATGGAATGGGAGTACTGGAAGTTCCTGAGGTTATTATGAGGTGCAATGTGTTTTTGATGTATAGGAAACTAGTAGGACACTTTCCTGCGTGCAGCTGGCTCTGAGTTGCAACTGTCTTTATCAAATGCAGAACAACCATGCTCGCATTCAGTTGGGTTGATGAAATAACTGACAATTCTTTAAAATTATGATTAGGGGCATCAAGACCAGGGTATGGCAGGACAACCCCATTCGGAAGTTTGATGTGTGAGTTAACATGAGCTCTTGCAAGTGGAGTCTCAAAACTAACGGGAACACTCTATGTAGGATGTATGCTGGTTGCATCCAGGAAATGATTCTCAACACATAAATGTGGCAGCCCT